GTCGGGTCCGAATTTATGGTCTCAAATTTATAGTCGGCAAAATATACGAATAAAAAATTGCAGATAAAGCGTGCTAGGCTTTCGCTTCGACCCCGGGGGGATTGAATCAACTCAAGAACAGTACTCTCATAGGTGCTTGGAATTATGAAACGCCACGGTCTCATCAAAACCGGGCCCATCAACAACCTCCGGGCAAGTCGGACCAACGGATTGCGATGGGAACTCGTTCCTCGCAGGTGAATCAGGCTTCCTCGAGAAATGGAACAAGAATCCATTTGGTTTCTTTCGCCGCTCGACACTCCTTTCGTTTCCGTGAAGCGAGGTGCACACTTCACTTTGGATTTTGAAATTGTGGGAAGACAGAGGAAATCTCTCTTTTTCCAAACATCTCTCTCTCTCTCTGTCTGTCTCTGTCTCTGGAGATCAATTACGCGAAGATTTATTAAATCAGACACAAGATCGGCGAGGGTAATTGCACCAGTCCCTTTCTCTTCAAGAGGCGAGAAAACTCAATCGTCGCAGTTCTCAATGCGCTCTGTCACGTACTTCACGACGGAATTGCAGAGTTGATTATGAATTTGCACCTGCAACTCCGCAATTTTACTTTCACCGGTTGCTCCGATGTGATTTGGCAGAAGTTAAATGTCATCTCAAATGTTCTGACATTTTTGCCCACTCGGATAATTTCTAAAAAAATGTATATTCAGGGCTCCTTACGAATACGACAGTTTAAGAAAAACCATCGAAAAAGATAAAATGCTCAGAAAGAGAAGCCAGAGAAAAATGTGGAAGTTTAGTGAGATGCTGGAGAAAATGCATTTTTCCCGAACGTTGTAGGAAAAGATTTTGCAGAGAAAAGTTGAAATGGAGAATTCGCGAAAATCTCAATCGTCACAAAAAGGCTGGTGAGGATAAAGAAAATCCCCATTTTTGATTTTTTTTTAAGCGGAAGGGCAAAAAAGGCTATCACAGTAAAAATATTGTACTGTGATTCAGTGAATACCCAAAAAATGGACCTAAGTACTGTATAACAAAAACTCAACAAAATAAATCAGTATAAGTGCACTCGGATTCATTCATTCAAAATAGGCTAATTTTTGTCTTCTCTTCCAGGATTTCATCGCAACTATTTTCAGCAGTACAGCAATGTAAAATGTGTGCTTTTTTTGCCTACTGCCATGTCGAAAAGCAGATTATTCGTGGCTTCCTTCCGCACTGTTTTTTTTTCGTTTTAAGGTAACGAAACAATTGTTTAGAGGGTTTTCCCCAGTTTTCTTTTTTTCCCAATTACGAGAAGTGATTAAAATGTTCCCATTGAAGTCCATAAGTAAATGCGATTCAACATGCGGACATGGTTTGAGAAGTAATTACGTCTGCATCTTTATTAGGGCAGCACTGTAAAGGAATACATTTCAAGAAAAACCCAGATGTTTGAAAAATATTCCCGCGTCTTTCTCAATTTGTTCCGCAGGTTTTTTCAATTTGTGCCATTCTTAAAACTTTTCAAGACGCTTTCTCTTCCATCTACTCTGTTACCTGTTTAAAATATCGTGATTAATGTCTCTGCGAATTCAGTCAGCAATTATATTTATTGCAATAAATTACAGAGTGAGGATTGAGAACATACAAAACGCCAAGATAAATTTGTCCATGAAAATCTCTCTGGTTTTTTGGCATGGAGGAACAGGATTCTGTTCATCCTCAATTTTTCTAATACTCGTGTTTTAAATCTAGACAAGGATAATTTTGTCCTGTTTTGGTCTAAATCAATTCTGTGAATTTATCATTTTCAATACTTGTGTTTTCAATCTGTCAAGGATAATTCTGATGCATGCCTTCTCAATCGTCCGCTAATCCAAGCCACTCCAAAACCCATCATTTTTACGCACATACAGGTATTTCCAGACGAATTACTAGTGCAATAAGTGGTAACCAAACTGTCCCTCATTATTGCTGAAAATAAACCTCCGTATTTCTGCACGGGATTATTGAGCTGCAATATACTCGTCGATGAAGCGTCTGTAATATAGAAAGGTGAATAGAAATCAGCGCTATTTCTTCGCTTCCACGATCCCAGAAATTGGCAGAAAAATATGTTTGGCCCCGATTCACATCACCAACCACACAGCAGGGATACCGGAAATAGGCTCATGAAATACAGGTCCAATGGGTGCTTAAATAAGCTGCCGAAAAACGAACCGTTATTGGTCGAAGTGAAGCTGTACGTTCTGCTGAGTCAACAGCTTCACGATTCCGGGATATCAAAATTTTATTTCTTTTGTAAAAAAAAAATGCATCATTACCATTATGCACGGCCTTTTGTTTTCCATTGCTGATGTTCCATGCGAAAATGTGGATCGCTTTTGAACTACTGCGGATCTACTGCTAGTCATTGTTGCAATTTATAAATATGTTAATATGAATACCCTGATTAGGATATGGGTACTCCTGGAGTATACCTTACCTAGGCAGGATGTACTCAATCATTCGATGTCATCATCATATTCAGCTGGGTATATCCTGCCATCATATTCAGGATACAATATGTCCAGCAATCATATTCAGGGTCTGTCCTGCCATACTATGTATTTCTGAACCCCTTCCTGCGATCTCTCTCATCAAGAACTGATGATCTGCTTATCGGTGATAAAATCAGTCAATTATATGATTCCTCTATTTTTGGGTCTATAATATATTAGCAAGTGATTTATCAGCCTGCCTCAGGAAGTGTGACGAAACAGACCACTCTTTTATTTTAATAAAGTCATAAATAAAAAGCTACGCTTTGCATCGCTTTCCGTAATAACAATGTGTCACCAAAAGTGGATTTTTTCGATATTTTTCCAATCCTACTTATTTGTGACGAGTTTACCATCTAACCGACCGTTCTTATTTTTAACAAAAATTGAATCTTCAGAATCACATACAGTACATGCATACAAAAATATTTAAGATTTGAATGTATACGTTTTTCTTCTCTAGAGTGACATAATTCAATAAAATAACTGGTGAAATCGAGGAATCTATTGAAGTTCTTCCAAAGATCCAGCTGCAGCAGACACGAAACAGCACCGTTCACCTGCTGTTAAATTTTGTCCTAAAAGCAAGAATACGTTTATTCCACGAACAGAATATCCAATTCAAATCGATTCCACGTCCCCGTCAATCGCCGTCATTCTTTCCTGATTTCATAGGAGTATTCATGTGTTTGTCGATAACTTCATCAATATTCAAGCTCCTTTTAAAATTTTAAAAGAAAAATGTATCGGGCATAAAATGCTACATAAAGTGTGAGGTTTGGTACAATAAACAATGCTCTATTGATCATCAATATTCAAAAGTAGGAAAATTTGAATTCATGATCTTCACTTAAGCCCATACTCAACTTTTGTTATGTTCATGCAAATTTAAGCAGTATTCTTGCACATTTTGATGCCCACTGATGTTTTACAAATGTAAATACTTTTTAGAGTCATCTAGGGTGAAAATTTTCAATTATGATTCAAAACATCATGTGAAGCATCTGGCGTGACGCTTCAGCAGGCACTGCGCCAATGCATCACCCCAGCAGAATCAGCAGAAGCGCCAGGGCCAGAGCGTCATGGTGCCTCAATGTTGAAAATCTGTCCTGCGATGCTACAATGTTAGTTAGTAGATGTCGCTTTACAAATAACCGGTGTTTGCAGGTAGCGTGGTAGGGGTATCGTTGAGTGGTGCCGGTCTGATTGGAAGTTGTCCCATAATGTCGCGTCGGATGAATTACAGGACAGCCTGATATGATCAGCCCTGGAATCGCGAAGAATGCCTCAGTCGATCTTTAGCATTCCTAATGCACAGAACGTAGTCATTTCTATTAGAGCTAATAATTTCCCAGAACGCAAAATTCAAGTGGGGTGTTATCAAAAGTTGATATTCAAGAAAGTATACTGAGTTCTGTGATAAAAAAACTGAAATGAATGTCAAGGAAAGAATAACTGAAAACTGTTCGCTCAACAATTCACAAGAGAATGCCCATCAAGAAACCCGTGTAGTTTCTTACGAAGCATTTAGTCCTGCTTCACATAAAATACCAAGACTGCTGCCACGATAAGAGAAAATCATAGAGGTATGTAACTTACAAAGAACGGCCCTGTGCTCAGCCCTGCATTCTACCGCGCGAATTCTTCTGTACTGTAAAATGTCCTGTACAGCAGCTATGCAGTACAGCGCAGTATTGTATGCAAACTTGAGTTGCGTCACGAACGAAATTTTTTGCGCAAGAAAAAATATAAACTCTCTGCGACCAATGCGGAATCAGGGAAGGAAATGAAAAACTTGTCGAGTTTCGCTTTCAGTGCGGCAAGAAGAGCGTCTGTATATTTCGTTTGCCTCGTGGAAGTCATTTCTCTGGTACGAGACAATAATTAACAACCGGCTTTGGCACTGATTGCTCCACGGTAATCCCTGCACTTAAAAAAAAAAATCCACCAGCGGGCATTTTCTTGCTGCTCCATGTTTCATTTTCCGTAATCCCCGTCCCTTATTCTCCTTCCAGCTGGGGACAATAAATAGCGAATAAATAACATTTCCGGGGAATAACTTCCCCCAACAAATACGATAAATTTCAGACCCCCCACTTCTCTACTGGCAGCATCTTGGGTTCACATGAGACAAAGTTTTTACTCTGTCGAAATCGACACATAGACGTCAACAACGCGCCTGAATTTTTCCCGCAAATACTGTTTGACCATTGAACATATTGTTGAAGTAATCTCGTTCGTGGAGTTGATCTGCGACTTTCGCGACGGAAATGTTCGAAAAAAAACCATCCATGTGCAGAGAGCGAGGTAAAGAACACACAACAAAACATAAATAATACAACACGTGACCGTTGTACATCTCAAAAGTGACGGCAGGCCTGGACGAGGAATCGTCGACGTTTTACATCATTCACAAACTTGTTCGGGATGCGAGCAGATTATCTTCAGGTAAGCTCTTTCCCTTGGTGATCAGCTCTTGGCTTAAATTCGAAGCAGCCTTGACCTTGCTGTCAGGAGCTGATGGTCTTCCTTGATCATGCTGGCTGCTTTTTCCCCGATCATGATGCAGGCAGCTTGAGTGTCTCCAGAAACGATTTCCGGCATGATCGATGCGTCGGCCACTCGCAGACTATTGATGCCGTGGACTCTGCAAATGTCCCGGAGTAGAAAAATTAAAGAAAGAACAATAAAAGCTGATCTAGTTCGCGAAACTCTCTGGCATACACAAGCGGAAGAAAAAAAAAGAACAGCTCCTGAGCGATTTATTTTTGTCTCTGTGTGACTCGTGCGAACTTCCACTTCACTCGAGCAGGAAAGTGGATCTGACTGCTGGAATCACAATCCTGACTTTATGTGCAAATCAGGTGGAGGTCGAATCCAACCAGTGATGATGACTTTTCCTGCTCATGTGAACTTCACACGTGGTCGTGGGAGGTTCTGCTGCTTGCTTCATTTAGCTTTGATTTATTCGAGGAATGCTCCGTGAGTTTTGAGAATCATATGCAGTAGTCACATTTATCGTTGCTCATACGCCCTGAACCCTCACTCCAGATAGTCACTTTTTTTGTGATGCTGCATTATTTATTTTTCAATTTAAACTTATAACTCTAAACAGAATGTAAGCAATTCCCAAAAGAGCCGAGATGAAACAGAGGTTGATGTCTGTCGCCGAATAATGTTGTCTACTGTACCGCACACGATACTGTACGTCTAACATGCATGATTGACAAACTATCGTCGGAATTTACAAACGTCATAATAAAAATCTATGGATGCTGTTTATTTGAATGAGGAGAAAAGCTTCTCACGAGGAATATACCATCCAAAAAGCAAACCCGCACACACAAAATAACAAACAGAATAATCAGAACTGCCTCAAAAACAAGAAACCGCAGGAGTGTTTGTACAGTACAAGTCAACGGATTGAATGAATTGAGCCGGTTCTTGCGCTTTTCGTGGCGTAAATTTATTTTTAACTTACTGAATTGATGAGAAGACGGGTATGAAGAAAAATAAATTTTGTCGCGTTTTTTTTTTTTTCGTGGGCAATGCGGGAATTATTTCGCAATGCATTTAGACTTTTCACACGCTAGACGCTACGAATGCTCCGAAGAATGCCCAACTAATTGGAATGAAGTACGTTAGTCTCTTGAAGCACCCCGTCCTAATTAGTCTAATGTACCACCTTATTCCCTTGCTGAATAAACTCTATGATTTATGCATCGCGAGACGCACCTCACACTACACCTCGCTTAGCAGCCCTCTCCCCATAGCTAAATGGGCAAACACACTTGTTTTGAGTTACGGACATTTAGACGAATAACCTACTGCAATGCAGCGCAAAAATTTGCAACGATCTCCGTTACTTGATGGGGTTTAAGTGACTATCAGTGACACCGTTCGTCAGAGGAAACGTGTCCCATGTACCGAAGACCCTAAATAATGACAAACCCCTGCACTCATGGGAATAAATTAGGCACATGCCATGGGGCATCCCTGTATTGATTTTTAATTACTATGAAAATTATGCGTCCTCCATCCTTCATATAATCGTGTTCTAACGTATACGCAGGGCCAGGGGATAAAATTTGTCCTTGCGTTCCTCGCAGCACGTTCAAGCTTACCGCAGGCGCGAGTCTACGACCGTTTCCGGGTTATATTCAGGTCCCATTTGGCACGTGGAACTGTCGTGCCAGTGCAGGTAGGTGAAGTGACGTGTGTGACATTCCCAGTATGCGTCGGAGAATCGCGTGTGCTGCTCACAGCCGGGCAAAGTGTGCGCGTACAACTCAGCGCCGACTTCCTTCATCGCCGGGGTCTCCGCGATTTTCATCAGAAATTTGATCGCTGTCGAAAAGGAAGCAGGATAATTAGAAAATCTTCAAAGAGTTAAGATGCGCTTTTCCTCAACGGTAGTTTAAATCGTGGATGTAAACGTTAAAAAAATGGCAGATACTTATTGCTGCGCTGATTGTCGGAAAATATAAAGAAATCCAAGTAAAATAAAGATTTATGCAGTATATAACAAAGGCCGGTTTTACTCAAGTGCTAATTTTCCCGCGAACGGATTATTTTGACGCAATTTTAATTTTAGCCGCCTTATTTTAATTCCATGTAATAATTGACCAAATTAATGGGCGTCGAGATTTGCAGAAAAATATCGGTCATAATTTAATAAATGGCGTGTTTTCTAACCGTCGTTGAATAATTTCCTTCCTCTCTAGAATGTATTACTAGTTACAAATAATCAATGTTCGCGTTGATTATCCGGGCGAAAATCATCAGCCCGGGTCTCGGTACATTGAATAGTGTATACTATTCAGTTTCTAGTGATCAAGGAATATCTTTGATTTCGAGAACAATCGGCAAAGGAATACATATATTGCATTGCTGTCAATGAACGTACCTTGAACAGCTGCAAACAATGTTGTGAATACAGTATATTTACGAAAGGTAATACAGTACTCTCAAGTTTTCAAGGAACTGATGTACTGTACACTTGTACAGTACTATCGTGGACTCATTCCTCAACGATATTCAGGGGACGAGAAAAAATCGTTCCACAGAAAAATTCGTTGCAGAGATCCCGTATTGAACAGGTAGAGAAACCCCATGGGATCAAAAATAATTAGTTATACAGATAAAATATTTTCCCAGAGAGTCTGCTTATTTACGCTCGATAAAAATCATTTCCATAATTCGGGGTTAATTTTAATGCTGAAATTAAATTATTTTTAAAAATTCCGAAGCTGCGAGTATCTTTCGCATTTGCATGGTAACACATCTCTGAGAATGTCGACTTTGATTAAGGCATGATGCTTAAAATTTGAATCCTCAAGGCTGCGTCTGCTACACATCGAAATTTCGATTCTGAAACGGACATGTCAGTATAGTTCTACTCGCATCTTTAAAAAAAGAACTTATATTTAAGAGAGTTTCCGATTCTTTGTATATATGCACTCTTTTTTTTACAGAACCATTTAAAATATAACACAATCCTTTTACATCTTAGCTGAAGTGTTATTTATTATCAACAGAAGGCTATGGATTGACCATATGTCAATTATTTGGAGAACCACGACGAAAGGGCTTTTTTCAATGGGCTATCATTTTTGACACCTGACTTATCAATCATCTGAGAGACTTCATAGGGAAATTTTCGATTTTACTGATGAAAATCCAAATAATCCAAGCTGATCTAAAATAGAAAATCCAAATTAAAAATGCCGCTCTTTCCGTGGATTTTCTCTTCGGGAAAAGGGAAGTTCGTCAGGAACACGGATTATTTTATTCCCTCGAGAAATCATCAGAGTCCCACGAATGAAAGTAAAACTTCAGAATGCAGCTGTCGGAATGCATTAAAAATAACCAAAAGGAATTAATCCTATATCCTTCTGAATCTTCTACATTTCGTGGGGGAAAAAAAAAAAAATTGATGGCAGCGAACCTGTGGTAACCGCTGTAGTCGCCCACCAGTTTCTCCCATTTCTCGACGCCCACGTGGGGTGTTAGAGGCCTCCTCTTTGGGGAACTAATCCAGATTTACGTGCCTTAATTAATCTCAAGTTTCAAAGAAACCAGCCCCTGGGATACCCGTGGGCACCATAAGTCCTGATTCATCCCGCGCGTCCGACGCCCAAAAAAGGCGTGCGTGCCATGCCCTTCAAATTTGTAAAGTTCTACATCAAAAACATCACGAGGGACTGAATTCGTTGAACCTTGCATTTTTAATTAATGTACGAAGGCATCGGGCACGGGCGACTCAGGATGAAACAAGTTTCGAAACCCACGACACACTTTTCAATGTTAATTTCCTGAGTGTTCAAAAGTCAATTCCAGCCCAACATTTTCAAATGCCATGAGTCAAGACTGTACCTGAATACACGATTTCAACCCATATCAAGGATGGCGTGAAGGTCAGAGAAGGAAATTACTTATAAATTTCGACGAGACAGTTTTTCCCAGAAAAACTTTGACTCCAGTCGAAGCTCAATTCGCGTCCGCGTTTCTGGAAAGTACTTTACTGTATAATTTCCAGGGGAAAACACGGAACACCTTGCGGCGACTTCCGCATCATTTTCTGGAGAAATAATCGCTTTAAAAGCTCTAAAAATGCAACGCGTCAAGTAATTCCATTTTCTGACGCTCATAAAAAATTGTTATAGCTCTCAATGGCACCGTATCAGCACTTGAGGATGCTTTACGATGACGGGGTACGATTACGTTGGGGTCGATAATGGAAGGAACGCTCTGCTATTCTGCTGTCATCCCAGTGGATGATCTCCGGATGAGATGAATTCCCTCGAAAATAAGAAGGGAGTCTTTCATGGACGAAGCACTTTTGCTGGAACCTTTTCCCGCGGAAACAGGGAAACCATTTCCCCCGATAATTGTTCGATGCATTTTCAAGCACCTATTTACTGAAATAACTCGATACTTTCGTAACACTCACAAGTTCGTCGATGATTTTCCTAGACATTCCCTACAACTCATGAACATTGCAGGAAATCGAAAAAGAAAACTTTTGAACGTGAAGTCACGAAGTGAACAGGAGGAACAACGTGACATCCGGAATTTGTCCGGCTTTCACAGCTAAAAAATAGGGTGGAACTTTTTTCAGGTTGACGCCTAATTGAAGTACCCTTCTATTAGATCTTATCAATTGAAGACTTCCAGGTCTCTTGTTGAATATTTTTGTTTGCGTAGCTTTACCAGAAGTGCCGCTCATAAAACTCTTCCATTAAATCCGGAGAAACGAATTCCAAGAGGAATGTCCGTCATCAGTCGTTTTTCATCGACTCACAACTGTGCAGTTCAAAAGAAAGATTTCAAAAAGGTCGAATTTGTAAATATTCCCCGAGCTTGAGGATGCGTGAAAGGGGTAATTCAAAACAAGGTTTCGCTGAAGAAGTCATTCAGTGTATTGAAATCGTTCTTCCTCCGCTCCTAACCATATAATAAAGGGTCACGTTCCGGGTCAAGTGGTCTCGCCCTTTTCTTGTGGGTTCCGGCGATGAAAAAAAAATATTAAACGCGTGGAGATTCTCACCATCTACAGTAATCTGCATGTCTTCAGGGTGCTTGAAGTAGTTGCCAATTATTTCGGGGTCTTCTTCAGGATTTGCGCTGCGAAGTCGGATTTGGCCACGGCTTTTTGGTCGAGTCGGGAAGGGCAGCATCATGAAGCCGTCGCGCCACCGCAGGTCTCGATATGTTTCCCACACCTATCGAACAAAAAGCACATTCCATAGTCAAGTTTTGAGTAAACGAGCGAATAAATCCATTCTTTGAACTCTGTGTATTTTCACGCTGATTTCGTGAAGTGTGCTCACGCGGCAACAACGCGAAGTAGCGCGTAAGCAAAAAACCTTTCTCACCCTTACTGAACATAACTTCTAAAGATTTCCGAGCCGGACTCACAAAAATACGAGTATACCTGAGTCAGAGTTTCGCGAAGGTGTTTAAAAAAAGCTTTAAAAATCAGAACAAAAATTCAATCATTTATTGAAAATATGATGAACAGTGCCTGCTTTTCGATCCATTCAGAGGATATACATGTTGAAAGCGTAACTTTAAACGCTCATTTCCTTCTGAAGGCATGTTTCTCATGCACTTCGAAAACATTTTGGAAGGTTGGTAATACAATTTCGGGTCGCCAATTTTTTTTCTTCTGTTCAATGTATGTTTTTGCTGTAGCTCTGGATTATCCGTGATATATTCGATTATCCAAGAAAATTACAACTATTCTATTTAGATTTTTTAAACCAAAAAGCCCGCGTCTTTCATGTTTCCTCTGAAAGAATGCATGCTCTGAACATAAATGTGTCTGAAGCGGAAGTCTCGCTTCCATACAAAAATACGGTACAGTACTTCCTTCCTTCACTTTACACATGATATCGGTTCAATAAAAACAAGTCCCTGAAGTAATTGTTATCGTAACCTCCCCCACATGTTCACCCATTGAATTTATTTAGAAATACATAGCGGGAAGAATGAAGAAACAGTTAGATATGCCCAACAAAAATAATTTGGCTAAAAATGCGGCCCCAACATTTATTTTTCGGATCTAAACGGACTGGGTAATCAGAGGAAAACTTGCTCATTATTGTAGGTCGTCATACCCTGGTAAACAACGTACAGTATGGTGTTTCGAGCAAAGTAAAAAAACCTGTGACCTGCTTCCGAAAAACAGTCACCGAGTGTTTCCTTCTAGCTGATGAGCATCGAGTAGTGAATTTTCACGCTCAGTAACTGAAGATCCGACCGTGACAGGTTTCCACTTTTCCTTGCCAACAATCTGGGCTTTCATTCGCTAATTGTTCCTCAACTTACGCTTTTCCCCCTTGTCAGTTCCGGAAACTTTCTTTCCGAGAAATGAGCAAATTTTTATCGCGAACAGCTCAAAACCATCAACGGCCAAAAACAGAAAAAAAAAACCTTCTGCTGCTCGAAAGCGCGCTAAATGAACGATGAAAAATATTTATAAATTTTTGAGTTCGTCCACAGTTGGTTAACGAATGCGCGTGTAATTTTTCAAATTTTGTTTTTAATTTTCTGCTGAAAAATGCCGCTTTATGTCCCACACCAGATGGTATTCGAACGGGTTGTGTCTAAATTTGAATTTCCTCGGCTTTCTGAGAGAACCCGACTATGCGGCTGCAAAATGGGATCACTTTTAGAAAACATAAAATTTACTCTGCTTGAAAGTTCGGTGGATCAAAGAGAACTCGACGCTGAAATTCGGAAGAGATTCGGGCCATTGCCACGTGGTTGAAATGCATTAATTAAAAGAAATACGTGAAAATCGAGGAGGAGGAATGATTACGCGAAGTTCCTCATCATGTTCTCCCTCGAGCGTGAATACGGAATTCGCCGTGTTTCTATGAGCAGAAAGACAATGGATGAGCTTCACGGTTTGGCTGATCTAGGCCTCATTATTTCGGTAATCATAAGTTTCAAATGATACTTCTTTTTCCTCATGCTCACTTCTTCCGTGAGGTTCAGCAGGCGACGATAAACCAGTCCTCCATCGGACGCGATGTGCGTGGAGCCGAACAGTATCTCGACATCTGGCCAAGTTGGGTCAGTGCTGTAGTTGCTGCTGATGAAAGCGATTCCCTCCAAGCCACCAGGGCTGTTCAATTGTCCTATAAACGAATAGAAAATTAGGCCACTAGCTAAACCCGACAACATTCTGACCCTCTTAGTACGGTATTTCGCAAAAAGCGGATTCAAATTTCTATTATTCTATCTCCATATGATTCATGCACGACGAAATCTAAGAATAAAAAAAATAAGACGCGGTTTTCAACCCTGAAAATCAGTCAAGGAATATATGTGTTGAAGTGAAAAATGTCTGTGCGTCCAATTTCAGAATTTTTTACTCTAGACATCAAGAAAAAATATGTATCAAGAGTTAATTATGAAGAACAGCTCATATCTGTGACAATTTCACAATCCCTTGGATGTTTTAAGCTTAGTCGGTAATATTTGATGATGCTCGAAAAAATGGATTTCTTCAATAGGGAAATCTTCAAGTGGATTTCGTTCACTCTTGAGTCTCAACAGCATAGAGTAGAAATTATTGATTTTACATGGAAGGGGATTGAGTCAAAGTAGACCTAAATTATTTGGGCAAACCACTCGTCCAGCTGGCAAACAAGAAAACCCTTCAATGCATCGTGGCATGCAAAGAATCTTATCCATGTGGATGCTGCAAATTTCTCAATTTCTTTCCTCCCATAAAAAGAATGGAGAGGGATCAAAAGATTCAGTCAAGTTACATGCCAAACTTTACAGAAGGTAAACATTGAAGTATTCCTCGCACACAGGAATCACAGCATCTTTTAAACACCCCCTCGAGAAAAGCATCAACATTCAACATTAAATTACAGGTGCTTTATTCAATTCCATACACTCATGATGCCTGATCTGATTTGTGGGCACACATTCTTTGTTTTTTTGTCAGATGCTTTCATTTTATGCATTAATTCTATTGCGTGATGCATTCTTTGGCTTGAATTGTAAATTGCTTCGAACTGTCTCCTAGAAAGGGCCCATGAATCAATCATTTGATAAAACTGGGAGGATATTTTTTTGAAGTGTCCCCATGAAAACAATCTCTCGGCCTCAAACTGGCTGTCCTGCATTAATTATTGTTCTCATGTGCCAAATCTTTTGCAGTCCTTTCTTGGGGTTCTGATGATCTGAAAAACTTTGCTGCTGTGTTTTCCACGACCTTACAATACCCACAAAACTCAAATAATTCGCCACTGCATATATGATCAGAAGTACTCAAAAAGATTCATTTTGTTGAAAAAAATAATACTGCTCACATAAAATAAAAAGCTACCTCAAGGAAGAATTTTCCAGGTGAACAGCAAAAAATATTTCCGATTCTTGCGTATGATAGCACCCACGATGCCACCTAGCCAACATAATTAATTCAAGCATGAAATGGGAATTCCTGCGATAAGGAAAAGAGAATGCAGGAAGCGTTTGCATCATTCATACATGACCTGGATCTGTACAGCATCTCACCTCTGACAGATAATGCAAGCTCAAGTTCATTGTTTAATGATTATCTGAAGGAGCAAAAGCATGTTTAATGATGCATAAAGGATTACAGCGATCTTATTATCTACTATAATAAAGTTACTTGCCGTCCTCGGTTCGCAGTTTTTTTAATTTTCACCAGCCCTCCCTTCCTTACTGCCCCTTGCCTCCCTCCCCCAGAGCCCCAGAGAGGCCTGCAGGAGGGTCTATGACCTGGATCTGTACAGCATCTCACCTCTGACAGATAATGCAAGCTCAAGTTCATTGTTTAATGATTATCTGAAGGAGCAAAAGCATGTTTAATGATGCATAAAGGATTACAGCGATCTTATTATAAGACAATAAGAGAAGAATCCTTCTTTCACTCTCTCTGTGACGCATGTTCGGTACGACATTTACTCCTCAACACTTTTCATTGTTTCAATGGAGAATGGGTACGAAGTGCGACCCAGTTCTTCTCGAAAGAACTCAACTGACGTCAAAGTTCACAAGTGTCATCACCTTGACTTATTGAATAGTAGTAATGCTGGCTTTAAAGGTTTTGAGGATTCCTTGAAACTTTAAACGCAAACACCGCCTGAAATTATTCCACTTGATGTACTTCAATTACCATTATGGCGGAAGAAAATTGGGTAACATCCCGAATCTTATCCACGACCAACCATATCACCAGCAGCCAAAGTAGAAAGCATGTATATGTGTGAAAATGATGCAGATTAAAAAAAAATTGTCTCGTTCAGCTACATGAATTTGAATTAATTGCAGCGCTTTGGATCGCAAGGAGAAGTAAATGGCTATCAAGGTATGCTATTTTCCCCCAAACTCTCTCATGGAAGGAGGTAAAAACAGTTTCTTCGGACAATGGTCGTAAACTGCGCAGAATTTTCATCAAGATGAGCACTTCCATCTGCTTCAAATGTTGTGGTAAGAGAATACATCTTCTTATCGTGAGAACAAACCTTTCAAGCATACCGCAGGATACATGCGTTTAAAACTCGAGTAAAATTCATCTCCACTCAAAAATCGAATGAAAAGATCTTACGTTGAAACGTACTGCATCGAAGGATGTCTCGGAAATTCGGACCAAAGCTGTGAATTAACTCAATCGAAAATCGAATGAAAAGATCTTACGATGGAACGTACTTCATCGAAGGATATCTGTGACATTTGGCCCGAAGCTGAGAATCAACTCAAATCAAAAGCATCACGTGGAAACTGCAAGAAGCGTGGGCAAACCTCTTCTATATGACCTTATGCCAAAAGAGATTATTTTTGCAGATATTTTCTGAAAGAGTGAACGAAGAAAATCTTTCCTCTTGAGAAAATCCACCATACACTTATAGGCTCCTTTGGAAAGCAGAAATTGATTCCAAGAAACCTTTTTTTAAATTAGAAAAGTATTCCCCTATGATGCAAAAGATCATGCTTTCCATTTTTAAATTCCGACACTTTTATGCACGGTAGTCAAAGTACGTGTAAAAGTACTGTATTAGTTCGCAAGAAAAAAATAGGAAAGGTAGTGCATTTTGTGATCGCAGGTTCTACACGCACTATTACTTCATCATTAGTCCATCAGCTTCCAGGAAACAAACTTCTCTGAAGCCTTTATTGGCAAATAAAATTACTGGATATTTAAATACATTTTTCATCGCTTTACCAAGAATTAGAGTTCTTTTATACTGTATTTCAATTAGTTTTTCATTTTTTGTGAATTTAAATAGCTCAATTGTCCAAGAGATATCAGAAATTAGAAAAAAGAATATTTCATGCTTTCTAATGATAGAAATGTTGGAAAAGTTTTCATATCTCGTGACGCTCTCCACATGTCTTCGCAGATTTTCTTGTTTTTGTTTTGCTTCAAGTTTCTCTAAGTTGAATCGTCGTATACATCGGGGACCCGTCAGTGTATACGAAGATAACACCTTATATTTGTCGTTTTTTCCCTGATTTTTCAAGTGTGGAAAAATTCATCAGAAAATGGCACGTAATTATGAATAATCTTTTTGATCAACCTAGTACGTTAGGCCCTCCCCTAAATTCACGCTCAAAAAGGATTTTTCTATGAACTATATTTTACTTACGCACCGACCACTAATACTTGCATATTATACAGCTGTAGAACCCTAATCGCACGCATGATTCGAGTTTTCATTTTATTTTACTTGATTGCTTGAGATTGTTCAGCAATGGCGAGAAAATGTCTTACCGCCACCGCGGAAAGCGTAGCTGGCCAAGGACCGGATCGTCAGGTCGCGGAAAAGACTCATTCCAACCGGCTGCGAGGTCGTGAAGTAGATCCCACCAGCACCCACGTGAGACCGCATGTTTTTGCCGACACCAGGCAAGTCTTTCGACACGTGAATCTGCGAAGAGGTCAGAGCATAATTCGAGGTCAACGCGAAGTTCGACGGGGACGAAGTCCACTGAGCGTCGTCATCGAATAGTTTCGTCCGTTTCGACTCAGTGGCACCCTTCAAACACGTGCTAAGCTAATGAGAATTAAAGTTCCGTTACCTATTGTAACAGGGTAAAAAGTTATTCGATCCGATTTTCAGGTCAGTTTGAACTCTCTCAATGAGTAAAGCAGCGTCTGAGTAAACTTGAAAGCTCATAGGTTTTCTCCGGAACTCCGAAAACGCAGTTAGTAATTCACAAAAGTTATCCCGGAAATGCAGAAGGCGACACGTGCCTTCTTATTTTTTTCTGCTTGGTGCAGCGATTCTAAGAATGATATAAAACCATGAAAGAACCATCTTTTCAAAGGATAAAACCACCCTATTCAAGCTAAAAAGTTTTCACGAACTTTATTTCGGGAAGATGAAACAGTTGTAAAGCAGATATTTCTTTCTAGGAATAGGATGAGGCTTTTCTTTTAGGATATTCTTAATTTTACGCGAGAAAACCGAAAGCAAAGAAACGAATGGAAATTTTAGGATTTTTCTATTCAGATATATGCAGTGATACCTTTGATGACGAAAAAGAGTTAGTTTCTGAAGAATCTCATTGATTAAAAAAATTCATGTCCACATTGAATTCAGAATGGATCATAAAGTATTAATTTAAGAACTACATCGCCCTGTTTATGATGGCCGCTGGTTAAAAACGTTGAACATTTTAGATTTCCATCGTACTTCAAGATTTTTTTCTCGCTGTTATATATGACGCCTTCCTACCTTTTTTGCCGACGGCGCTTAAGGAAAAATATGCAAATGACACTTGAGTAAATACAGTATGCTGATCATTTGAAGGGTTCTTGTGATTTTCAACACAAGTTGAAGGCTTCCCACACGTTTTCTTTGTTAAACTTCACTGCAAGACGCAAAAAGAAGCTTCTCGTCGTCGTTAAATAAGAATAAATGTTAAGACTAGAACGAAATCATACCTGACCTGGTTTTACGCAGCTTTAGGGGGAACTTTTACCTTCGCGGGAAATCCGATCAAGCGAAAATCTCGTGAGTGGTACTTAACCTTGGCCATCGACCGAATTATATATGTGCGATTGAAATCACGGTCAGCGTGCAACGTTGCGAAAACTGTGTCAAAACTGATAAACCATGAAGTTGCAGCGATTTTCGTCGCGCCAACGAACTGCAGAACAATTTGCCCGTCGTGCTCAGTCCTCCTCGACAAATTGCTCGCAATACCCTCGTAAGTTATTTGTCATGGAACCATGAAAGCAAAGTGCTTAATTTCATGTTTTTTCTCAGGAGAAATGTCAGCGTGGTTAAATAATCGCTCGGCAAATAATCGGTGCCAATTATCTTTCGGGATTCCTCGTCAGGCGCAAAGAAACCGTAGTTTCCTCTAATACCCGGGAAAATTGGGAACTTCTTGGCAATTACATCATTAACCCATCGCTTCGTCGCGACACCATCAGAGCACTGCTGGAGTTTTCATTTTTTATTTTTAATATGCTGGTGCGTTGCCAAATGACCCATGGAAACCCGTGAACGGCCCACTGACACATTTTCGTGATAGTTGACCACGTGGAATCACGAGACTTCGTCGTTTATCACTGTGCTTCAAAAGGATAATTTTCAGATGAACTTTCTGAGACGCGTTCGAGTCTCTGGAGATTGTTCAGCAGATGCTCTTGCGATTTCCACTTTTCTGTTCCCATTACCTGTTATCATTGCAACTGCATGATTCAATACGTCTTGATTATCAGCTTCGTGCAGTTGCTCACTGTCATAAATTCGCAAAATTCATGAATTATTCTACCCCTTGCTCGGGATAATGACGAAGAATTTTCCCTCATTTTAAGTTGGTCAGAATAATGAAGAAATAACTAGTTCGACTCGGGCTAACCATGATTTCTTCGCATCCAGTTTTTTCCCACCAGTCGCAGCTGGGTTTCCGTACATCGCTGTTTCCGTTAGAGTATTCGACGAATAGTGCAAAAAATTGCTCCATTACCCTGAAATTGATATTTTCTATGCACAAGTTTATGAATAAGAAGCCGCCAATGCGTCGTGGGATGAATGACTAGACTTCAAAGAAGTCCCTGTTGATTTCCTGCCGCTTTCCTCGAATTAAGACCCTCACTTCTTGCTCACAAAAAGGCATTTCAGGGAATCCTTCACAAAAATAGTGTCAAAAGTAGAAATGGCCAAAATCAAGATCTTTGATATTTTAGAGGGATTTTGAATTCAGATCATTGTCAAAAAGTCGATTTTTATATGTAGTTTTAATATTCGTCAGAACTATGTTCACAAAATCACGTAAAAGGAACGATAGGAAAGTGAAGGTGATTTCTTCCCTGTAATCGAGTTCACTTTCAATTCTCACCCATCTCCCGCCTATATTCCAACAAAAATACTTCACCTGAATATATATGGAGAGAAGATTATTTTTTTTAAAGGATTTTTATGCTCGGATATGCTTTTTTTCAATTTCAGAAGTTCACACTCACTCCTAAGCGCCTGAGTTCATCAGCAGGTCCAATCCCGGAAAGCATGAGCAGCTTTGGGCTTTCCACAACACCAGCGGAGACAATGACTTCCTTGGATGCGAGAACATCATAATCTCGACCTGCTCGGCGGAACGAAACTCCGACTGCTCGATCATGAGCTGGATCCACAAGCACCTGGATTGAAGACAAATTTCAAATCAAAATTAATGTTCACGACGAGATTAGTAAGCTTTAGAATATTTAAAAAGGTGTTTTTTATATTCGTTTCATACTATTTTGTCAGCGGGTGTTAAACTCCGAGCCAAATTTAATACTGCGTCAAACGATGGTTCAAAAATTTCGGAAGAAAGAACTTCTAAATTCTGAAATATTTGAGCATTTTTTGCACACCACTCTTTTTCTTTTGTAAATAAATCCTTATTTAATAATTGACGTTACAGGTTGACGGAAAAGCAGCCGAAGTCTGTTACAGCTATTGTATTTGATGAACCTGGGGTTTGGAAATATTGGTTTGCATTTGGAGAAAGTACTGTACTGGTACTCGTACATCTCAATTTTTAAATGACAACTTTTTGTCGATTACTCGTCATCATTATTATTACAGGATTTTAGTTTTGCACACACCAGATGACTAAATTGGCGAAAGAACCATCACACCCTGTGGGATGACTTCGACGAGAAAACGGTTGTATAATTCTTTAAAAACGCATACCACTGCCAGCATAGACGAATCAGAAAATTTTTAAATATTTTTCAGAGAAAATTTTCGCTCATCCGATGCAAGCTGTTACAAAATTTGTATTCTAATAAGCATCAGATATCTTCCTGATGAAGTCCAATTTTTCTGTTCTGTCCGCTCTTCTTCTGTCGTCATTGGAATCATTATTTTTATTTCCATAATTTGGTAAAACAGTTTTAGAAACTCTTTGAAAAGTTTCTCAGTCGACGCTGAAACATATTTCTGAACAACTGAAAAATGTTTTTTGCAGTTCTATCGCGAGCGGTTTAAATCCACAGGTAAGCTTAAACAATCATGTCCAGCTTTCTTTTCACCTAGACAAGAAAATTTATATCTCTTTCCTCGTGGGTTTTGATTCATTTCTCAATGCGTGTGCAAACTAATTTCAAGTTCTGGCGCAAAAAATTGGCCATAGTTTGAGAAGGATGAATTGACCGAAATTCATACTTTCTCGATAAAATGGCTCGAAACGTTCAGGCGATATGATTTGATTTCTATGCTCTCATTTTTCTGACGTGCCACGTAAATCTTAAAAATGGTTCAGAAATGCTCTTCAAAAATGTATTCCGAGTCGTTTTCGGCACTGTTTTTTCTTCGATCAGTCGGATTTTAATCACGGTACTTCGTGATTATATCGAATGAAACCATTCCAGGGAGAAACGTTGACGGATCGTATTTTCTCCCGCTGAGGAAATGATTCTAAATGAACTTCGTGTTCTCTGGCTTGTGATCAATGTTTGCGCGTGAGATTTCCCAATCTACCCAAGGACCCGACTTATCTGATGTGTACAGCGTTTCGAGTAAATGTTTACGGATGAAGATGGATGAATCAGTTGCTCAGGGAGAACCTGCTTAATTTAATACATTTCTTCGAAACACGTTTAAATATAAAAAAAAAACTCTTGGAAGCTTTATCGCCTTGGTCCTGTAACAAATCCGGATCGCGTGCAGCACGCAACGCGAAGCATGGGATTGAGATCAGAACGTCAGCTGGAATCAAAAGTCGGTGCTACCTGGAGACAGCGTTTCCCTACACTTGTGTAGAACAGCGATTTTTTTAATTGAAATTTTTGCTTTCATTCTTCCCGAAATATTGTCCTAGAAAATAACTGCCGTTGTTTCCTGCTGGATATTGGTTTCAACAGGGAAGAGTGGTTATCTGAAGCGTCTGATTTCGTTTTCCATTTTAATCACTGAGCCTACTTTCTTTGTTTGTGTAGCGGGTCATCCATTTGCGTGTGGGGACAAATTGTTTACACTAGAAGATACACATTTTTTCACACGGGATAAAAATAAATGCAAGGGAAAATTTTTAATTGGTTTGTTTTGCTCATTAAGTTGATTACATTGGGCTCACTCCCACATAACCCATGCATTTCCTGTCACCCCGCATTTTCCTTGAAGTAGATGAAGTACAGTAGTTTTACTGAAATTTTTCCATTGAGTTTCGAAATAAAAGGAGCGCATCCAGCGTTGATTTAATCCTTACCGGATGGGATTTATAGGGATGTACTCTGAGGATAAACATTTTTTGACATGAACCTCATCACAAAGGAAGTTAGCGCCCCAAAAAAAGTGGTCTGTTTTCTCCGTCTTTGGTTGATACTGTATAAGGCTTCCTCTGGCCCATATTCAAAGCAATAATTGAGGTCATGAAGCACGAAAAAACTTGAGAAGTCGTGATGTTATTACTTTAGAGTTTAGACCAACCACCTGCGGGTCAAAGGGATTGATTTATCAACGTCACTGCGTGGGTTTCACTGGAGCTGTCGCCCAACTTCCTCAATTCCACAAATGATCCACAGTGCTTAATCTTGCGATTAAGACAGCCAAAACTCCAGTAGCTGATTACGACCAAGATTTAGAGACGTCGCATGTCTCAGGCAAATCCATTTGTGCTCAAAATCCCGTCAGGACTGATGATGCATCGCAGGGGAAGAAGTAGGTTCTCCGTTAATTAGGTTCGGGAAAGTTATTAACCTTAATGACAATATTCAAAGAATTTTTTGCTCTCAGATGAAAATCCTGCGTCATGATCAAAAATACCTTCTTGAAATCATTTTCAGGAATAAATTAATTCGCTCGTCGGACGACTCTGATGCAGAAAAATAGCCTAATGTCAAAGGGATTCGCATCCCATGGAATTTTTCATCTCCTTAAATACTCTGCGATGCTATCTCAATCAGCTCAATTATTTCCATGACGATTTTTCTTTAATTCACTTAATCCAGCAATATTTGCAGCGATAAACTCAAGAGGCATACATAAACTCTCACCATTCGATTTAATCTTGAAAAAATCATTGGCGTATCTCCTGCAAACAAGCACGAAAGGTAACTTTGAATTTTTTAGGGATTTAGTCTGACAAATTTTCACGTTGAAAAACAAGGAATGAAATAGAAGACCTTAGCTTCGTATTTCAGAGGAAGAGGATGTTCGGGAGCGAAAGAAGTCAATCAGGCCTTTTGATGATCAGGACTCCGCGATATAAAGACGGTTTTCGGGGCAATGAAGAACGAGATACGACAGGAGCGATCTGTTCCCTTGGTCGCAATTAAAAGCGTAAGAGCATTTTCGGCATCTGGCAAAGAAAATTATGGGAAACAGCTTTGTTTCGGTCGACCGAGAATCGAGCGTAATTTCTCGGCTTTAGCTGCTGCTGGGAGCTCGCCGTTATCTCCGCGCCTATTCCACGTGTATACGCCCTTGGCGCGCGCCATAACGGCCCGGCATCAATCACAACCTGGTGTCCCAGCTGGCCAAAGATGCTGAGCAGACAACTTCCCAGAGAATCCCACATGACCAGCTTCGTCTAATCTGCCACACTTCGTTTCCTTGTGTCGTCTACGTCCTTTGTTTTTTTCGTTCCTTTTTTTGCTCAAATTTGGTCGGGCACGACATTTGGCCGCAGAAAAAAAAAAGATGCCCAACAAATCATCAGAGGCCTCAAGTCCGCAGATTCTCAGCTACTCAGTCTTACATCGTAAGACAAAGGATTCTGTTTTGATGGAGCGTATTCGTACTCTTAAGGATTGGAACAATCGCATTGTAGAAAACCAGAATTATCAAGGCAAAAAATCTAATCTCTCGGGATTTCGACCAAATGTGACCCCATTGCGCCAATCCATTCGGAGAGCTTTTTCTTAGTCCAAAGAAAAAGTATTACATACTCTATTGGAGTGCTTTTATTTTTAACCCCCTGCTCGATAAAAAGAAAAAAAAATTCGACCGCGGAAAATAAAATACGGTATATCTCACTATCAGAAGCAAGCATCCTCTAACTTTTTTCGAAATATCCACCGAAATGTACGTTTATTAAGCCATTTTTATTATTGTAATAAAATGATCACTTCGTAAAAACCAACATCATTCAACTTTAAAATCAGCGTCTATTCGGATTAGAAAAAATTTTAATCTAGGAGGACCTTTTTTCTCAAGCTGAAACGCTGCTGGAAAATAAAATATTTTGAAAGCAATTAGCAATAGTTTAATAATCTTCATGGTTCTAGTCCCGTTTTTACGGTGCATACCTACAAAATATTGCACCCGGACAAAGAAGTAATCAAAGCCAAATGCCATGACGATCCAATTTACTTCAAAAACTACCGTAAATTAGGTAGGATTTTTGCCTCTTATCACATAAGAATGAGACCTGATTTCCCTACAAAAAAGGGGGGAATTTAAAACGAAAAGATCTCCAATTCTTATGAAAGATACTCTTGGTTGAAGAAATATGGCTCCATAAGATCAAGCTGAACTTTCCAGTGTTTTCGGATTCATCTTTTCTTGACCTCGATCCTTCGTTCTGGCTACTAAAATTGTGAATGTGAATCGATTGCGGAACTTTTTATTGGTTTTAAAGAATTAGCTAAAACATTCAGTCTGCAGATGAGAGCTTCAAAACGGAAAGAGTGGGAAGTTTATATAGCCTTCTCCGGAATTAAATACCACGCGTGAGTTTCGCGGCATATGGTCTGAGTTGCGGTTTCGGTCACCCAGTTTTGTGAATCTCAAGCATGTCTGGCAGAACTGGGTCATCTCAAGATTTTCCCTTTTCCCCTTATTTGACAGGAATACGGGGACAATCCTGGCGCCAGGATCGCATTGGATCCTCAGAAAAATACCTCTAGTGTTCATGTTCTCTGAATTTACCGACTTATACAACATTTCACTGAAAAAAATGACAGTTAAATAGGGCAGAGTTCATGAACTTGTTCTCCTCAACGTTCGCGTATGCTGGATGCCTTAAAGCCTTTTTAGTTGACGAAAAAAATACAAATGATTAACCGCAAACGCTAGCAAATCAAACAGATGATCTGAAATTTAATCCTCTTTTTTTCCAGATCACAGACTAAAGCAGTCATCCTAAGTGTAATGTTCTGCTGTACCAATAAATTCATATTTTTGTATGCCCGATGCATCACATTTTTTCAATCAATCAATTGAAATTTCAATACCGACGAGCAACGCGCTTCGCAAAATAAAAGAAAATAAAATTATTGAACTATTGTTTCGTCTTTATAAATATTGATTCAAACCAACACCTAATCAATCTGATCAATGCCTAAGGGTGGAAAAATTTGCTCACCTTCGTTGCCCTTGACATGACCATAATTTCCAAGTTGTCGCGGTCAATGATTGGTCTCAAATATCCCGTTGCAGTGGAATACCTCACACCGTCCTTGTTGTAAGTCTGAAGAAATGCAAATCCTGCGGGAGAAAAACGCCAGAAAATTAAAACTTGAAAGCAGAACATTATTCGTTTTTAATGGATAATAGGACCATTACCAGGAAGCCTTTTTAGAATTGGTTTGAAGAGCTTAAATTATGTTTGGTTGAAACTAATCAACCGATTCCGTTGGCAGGGCTTCATCCACAGAATGGCCCTTGTGAAAAGTATCAATTATGTTCCCATTAAGAATGCTGCTGATTTTGTCAACCGAAAAGCACAAAATACCAACTTTACAGTACATTTTCATTTTATAGACAAAGCAGTCCGCAGACCACTCTTCAAACCGATGAATTAATGAAAACAGTAAAAGCTGACAATTTTCCGGTAAATTTCGCGCGGAACTGGGACAAGGAAGCGGAAATTTTCCGACACAAGAGCCATTATTTTCCCTCGCCTTCCTGCCAGAAAACCGCTGAGAAATCTTGGAAAAGCAGACAATGGTCGAAGAATGGAAATAATTTTTCTCAGTCGACTCTCGGATCATTCCGACGTGCGTGGAATAAAGAAGAACACTCCAGGTCCTTGGAGAACCCATTTACGAGAACACGTGTTCTCCTGGGTAATGCGGTTCTTATCCCAATGCGAATGAAATGCATCACTTGAAAAAATTGGAATGGTATTACCTTAATAATTCTCAGTGGGTAGTGGAGACGTCACAGTTTATAAACCTGTCAATTCATTTGTGCAGGAGGTAACTGAAGGTGATGATTACAGTTAGTGATTTTTCAAGAAGAAATACGTGCAGAGGAATAAACTAGATTACATATACTGTAGTCCGCACTCAGGGTAAGTAGCCACAAATACTTTTTCTACACATAAGTGGCTTTCTGCAATGAAAATTTATTATAGTAACTTCTCACATGTAAATATGCCAGTTTATGACTTGCTAACAGTGCAAGACAAAATACATTTCATGAACATTTTAGAAATTTTACTGAACAACATCTCGTTCGTGTTATTGGGACAAGAATTTTCGCCGTACAAAAATTTTTTTTTTCAAAATAATTTATTTTAAAGAAAACTTCTGTTATTTGAGTTTTCCGTTTTTGGTAGTTTGGTTGGAATAAAATGCCATGGGATAATCACATACATTTTAGGTTACAATCTTGGAATATAGATACCTTTGAGTTAATCAGAAGAAAAATGATGAAATTTTGTTATATTCGGCTTCAGGAAAATGGGATTGTGCGAAGTGTCTCGCAGTCCTAGATCAAATTTTTCTTCCCCGAAGATGCTGAATTGAACTCTCAATATGGCGCACTCATTTGCATATATCATGAAGCGACATAAACAATTCTGCACACAGAGGCAAGCGGTTATTTTTCAATTCTCATGACGGAATGCACGATGTAAAAATAAAATATCTTGCGAATGATGAACGAGGAAATATATCTGAATGGATAAATTTTAGTGGTCGTTCCTTACGTCTGAAATGTGTGCAAATACTTCCAGAGAGTTTTTCTCGCGTTTTTTTTTTAATAAAAAGCTCCGAGGAAGTGATTCTCAAGGGAAATAGGATGTTTCATTTTTTGGCGCCTCGGCGGGAGCACAGTACTGCTGTGGTGGTGGTGGGGTAATCATACTCATTCAGTACTCTGCAGTACGCTCAAATAACGATCTCTGAGTTATCCTGCGAGAATTCGAGTCGGGAAATTGTTCTACTCTGTCAGCAGTTCTTCCCGCAGAGTTTTTCATCACTCACGCCGCGTGACGCCGAAAGCTACCGTTATGACCGAATCACTATTATCGCCTGCGGGTGGATAAACCCTCATTTCTGCTCTCATACTTTGGATAATCCTCATCCCCCTCTCATCTTTTTGGGTAATCCTCATCGCCCTCTCGTGTGTGGGATGAGCCGAGAATGTTGATCGATCGGCGCTCATACTGAGAATTGTGAACGGTGAGAAAAGTCGATCAACTAACAAACGACCAAGCACACTATGAGATTCATCACAACACGGCGTTTACGTCACGCGCAATTGAGTTACATAACTTTGCTTGTGAGATCATCCGATAACTCAACACATTTCACGTAATCGAAGAAAAATAAATGTTTTCGAAAGTGTTTGCACAACGATTCGATACAGTACCGTGGACGGCTGAAAAAAAGTTACATGTTCGAAAATCTCCCACATCAGCGATTCTCCAAGATTATATCGATGTTCAACATTGTGAGGTTTTTTTCTGTTTGCATTGCCGTTACGAGGCTGGGAGACCTTAGCTTGTGAGTGCACAGTTGTTCATGTTGCATAACTAGAAATTCGAGAGGATGTGCATTCTATGAACGAAATAGTGGAGCTTTATTTGTTCACAGAGAGAATATAGGGGAAAGTACGATAACTTGAATCAATTATTCAGAAGAACTCACATTATGACGGGAGACAATTTTTAATCCATCTAAAAGCTTTCGGTAGATATGAAATTATTAAAAATCCAATTGGAGTGTCGGATTGTTAGACATAATAAGAGACGAAGTTGCATCCGGGATAAATTAAACGTTCTAATTGGGAGTGTATTAAATTCAGTCTCAAGAGAATTTCGATGAAAAATAATACCAATAGTATTTCTATTGGACTCTGTTTCTTTGATTTTTAATTGATTGTTTCAAAGAATCGTGGTCCCATTTTATTTGAAAACTATTTAGACTGACCATTTATAAGATTGATATGCATTTGAAGGCATATCAGTCGCCAAAAAGCCTGTTCGACAGAAATGGTTTAGCAGAAGAATGTGTTTGATTTTGTAGTTACTCTGGCTTCGAGTGGCATAGAATGGTATATTTTATCTTCTACTCAAAATATCGATTCATGAAAATAATGCGGGATATTTCCGTTTTATGATTATACAGCAGTATTCGGGGCTAAGTTCACGTTTTCCAAGGGATTGCTGCAAATCCCATTCGAGTCCGATTTTTGGTATTTCTGAAGGGTTCTGATATTTTAAATGAAGAAATAAAAAGCGCCGGTGTGTGAAATCCCACGTTTCAAACATTTTAAATAACCTCGCTGCGTAATTTTTGACAGCAGCATCAGGTTATTCGCAGTCATTCTTCTGAAAGACGTGATTGATTATCACCACCGGATGTTATACTGGATCTGAAAATAGTTCTGCACGCTATTGTGCACTGTCTAGGTGTTCATTTCTGGGAAAATTGGTTAAATGTTTTCCTGCGACTAAAAAATAAATAAAAGTGTATTCACCTGTTTGGTTTTTCCCGTTATAGTCGTTCTCAGCATAACCGAGTGCTTCACCGGCTTTCACGTACTGATCGAACAATTTCGTGTAAACATCCGCTCTGCTGGTCGGCATGTATCCTCCGGTGCCGTGGAACTCGTCATCTGCGAACATCGAATGCCACAAAACCGCTTTGTCGGTTAACCGTGAATGCTGCAGACGTCCCGAGAATGCTTGGACGTGTTGAGAAAAACGGCACTTCTCTAGAATATCTCTGAAAAGCTGCCTAAAACGTCCCACAGAAACGCTGCTCCATGATTGAACATGTTTCTTTAAACTTCAGCCCCCCCCCCCCCCTCCATAAAAAGGTCTAGACTCTGGAGAATATTTTACCAAGAATTTCACGGGTTTCCAAAAGAAAAGTTTTCTTTTGTGTACGAGTTCAAGGTTCGTTACTTTTCGAATGAGTCCAAGGCTTCAACTTCCGAGGCTCATTTTTTTTTCTTGACTTAACATTAGTCTTACCTGTGGGAAGATTTTCTTTGCTGAATCCCAGCCAAGGATTAAACATTAATTTTTGTTGAAGCCATGTTTGAGTGCCCTTAATCGCGTAATTTGTTGAACTCTAATTATTTTGCAAAAATCGACCAGAAATTGCAGCTCATCCGAAAGAATCATAACAGAATGCACAACTGGTAATTTCCATTCCATCTTTTTTATTCCATGCCTTTTAAATAAGTGGCTGGCGAAGTTTGAAATTGTCAGGGATTTGCATAATACTTGAAAAGGATTAATCCATAATTTTCACCCGTTTAACTTTATTTTGCGCAAAAATGAGATCATCTTTGATATCGAATTTTTTTGGAGCAAGGGTACCCAGTCATTAGCCTGAAAATTTTGAGGTTCACTGTATTGCTTTCTAAAGACTTCGTTGATGCTGGGTGACCAAAAGAAGGTGATTTTTATGTTTAGTACATCAGTGTCACGGGGAATCACGACAAAATGCCGGAAAGGAGAAAACGCCGGGAGAGACAGGTGAGGGAATTTCCAGGTGCAGAAAATGCCGACGATGTGGGATATAAATCGAGTACTGTACAGTAAAATAAACTTAAATAGTTCCCTTCCGATTCAATCTTTTTTCAGCCAGTTCTGGAGGATTAGCTCATTCAAAGCAAGCCTCAGCAATGCAATACATTGCAGTATCAATCAGTAATCCTGGCTCATACTTTTTCACCAGCTGGCCATGACTCAAAAATATTTCCAAGAGCAAATTGCACCAACTTCCCTGCGATTTATTTTTTCCAATTTTTTTTGTCCTTTTTACCCTTAAATTGCATCATTTCTTACTGCCAAAATCATTCAATTTTAACTTTAACCCAGGTTGTTTTCCGGGTGTGAAATTAACTTCTACCGCTACAATTTTGTCCCCTCGTGGCGCCCTTCCATGGTATTGTAGGGAGGATTTTTTTTAAATCTTGGCTCCCGTCGTGAGGGTTTCACGCTTTTAATATGATGGTTTCGAGGATTTATGCTATACAGAGGTGGAAGCGTATTGTTGGTTTCATGGCGACAATGTTGCGAGTGATGAATGTTTTCTCGCGTTTCACCGAGCAAATAGTTACCGAGCTCAGTCTCAGATCGGTTAGTCACGAATGAAACCGGAATGAAAACGCTCATTACTCGCCGTGGTACTAAGTGCCCGAGGAAGCATTACGGCACGCTTACTCCTTCCAAGGTAAAGGGACGGAGATGCTTTCCGTCGAAGCTTCGTCGTTTTACGTAAAGAAGCCTTTCATCTCGGCGCTAGTGAGTGCTATCCCGCCGCGGTTGTCACGCTTCTTGAAGTCTTCGGACTTCCGGAACAGCGGGAACACGTCTTGCCAGCTCCAGCCGGAATTACCCAGGCGCTCCCAGTTGTCGTAGTCTTTAGGGTTGCCCCTGGCGTAAACTCCGCCATTCAGGGCCGACGACCCACCGAGCATCTTCCCGCGGAACCAGACGCATCTCTACAAAAAAGAGAAAAAAAGGATCAACAAATAATCGAACCTCGATTCTCCAGCTTTTCACAATGACTCCCACGCAAACGGCAAAGACTGAGTTGACATTAGCTGAGCTCAATATGGGAAGAAACGCACGAAGTCTGGTGGACTGAACTCTGAACAAACTTCTGTTCTCATACCTTCACGTAACTGGGATACTGTATACCTGTATTTGTGTTCGTGGCAAATGTTGCCACTGAATTCTAACCCACAGAAAAATTGCTGAAGTACAATACCTTGAAACTTTTTTGAAGCTAGAAATAAACGCGCGAGGCAAATCACAGCTAATTTACCAAGAAAATTGCCTGCACTTTCTCTTCTATACAGTAGTTACATATTTGGCCAGTATATGCAGTAATACTGAATCAATTCGAGTTCGCTATAGAATACTTCTCTCCTAGTATTCCGCAAGAACAGACAAATTCAGATATTGTTACTTCCAGCACAGGAGAAGTTCAAATATTCTCATATTCCATTGATATGAGTTCGGGTGAATTGCAAAATATAATAGGCTGACCTAATGTTTTACTTTTTGATTTTTGGGGCTGGAATCGCTGACACGGAGTATAAATCAGCTTACCTTATGAGGAAATTACTTGCGGAAATTTGAGAATTATATTGAACATATTTTGGTAGAAAATACATAAGTGTAATGACAAGTCGGAAAAATGTAAACTGAACACCAACAACAAATCGATGGAAACTATAAATTTTTGAATCTAGCACTCCAAGGACCCAAGGAAAAATTTAAAGTACTTAAAAACTCGAAGTTCCTTCAGGTTACATAAAGCTTTACTCTTCTCTGAAAACTCGTCGTTAAAAACGAATAAGTTTGAGAACCAAAAGGCCCTAATGGAAATAAATTCATAAGATGATAAATGTTCCGCGTGCTTCTCGAGGAGAATAATAACGTTATTGACACAAATAACATGTAGATTTTGAAAATCAAGTGACTGACAGAAAATCTGCATACTGAAGAAAATTACCGATGCAACATAAATATTCACGAATCCACCGTTCATCACAGCAGGTTGAGAAAATATTTTGTAAACATGCTATTGCACCTGACGTCAATCATCTGAGCGGGAAAACCCTGCACTATATGACATTTAAATTGACCCTTGTCGATACATATCCATGCAAGCAAATCTGAAATCATTTGCAGAAAACTTTTCGAGATTTCAAAACATTCGAGGCCTCAATCATCATTTTGCAGCACCAATTACTGAAGCACGTGCGTCAAAGTAAATAGTTTCAGTGTCCGCATACAGTTGTTTTCTGGCTTCATTGTTGATTGGAAAGCCTCACACGTTCTTCAAATTTTGATTTGTTGAAATTGGAAGAGTTGAGAGATAGCCAACGGAGTGAATTCATGGTGACATAACATGCAAGATCCCTATAGTGCGTTTGAGACATGCAGAACCCGGTCTGGTTCTCCCAACGAGTGCCGAATGCAAAAAATTCCCGGTAAGCAATTTCCAACCAGTACTAGCAAGCTCTTTAGTTAATTCTTAACAGTGAATTCTCTTTTTTTACAGTACGCGAATGTGACAGTTGAATATGCATTATGCAGAGTTCACTGTAAAATCCCCAGGCAGCAGAATACGTTACCTTGAGATCCCATTCCGTACATTCACAGAAAAACCCCTCTCAGGAGGAATCACAAAGGATCTGAACGAATTCTTGGCAGGTCTAATCGCAGTCGACAGACTTCTTAGGAAGGCTTTGAGAGAAAGGTTCTATTTCAAAATGTAGAGAAAGCTTTACTTTGAATATGTAAGTCCTCTTACCAAGCCAAATTTGACCAGAGTCTCGAATGTATCCAGACAAAAAGCACATACGACCTACATATGAACACTAAAAATTTATTAAAATCCAAGCGTCGAGCCTTTATGAGTACTGTACTCGTATTCACATTCTACAGGGTGGTCCACAGCAGGGTGAGCTTTGATTAAACTTTTAAAAGCGGGAAAGATTTAAAAATAGCATTTCTAAAACTAATAAAGCTACTTTATAGGTTCAAATGAAGAAATTATCGCAGAAAATATATTTTAATAAATTATGTGTAAAATTCGAAACCACCGGAATTGAACAAAATTGAAACCACCAAACTTGAAAACGTTTTTGTATCGGCCATCACGACCTATAATGTACTACGAGTTATGTTGCATGAACAACGTACAGTAGTTCAACTATCGACCCTAATCGACCCTTTTACAGTGCAGAGGGTCAACATTTCCTTGATCTCAAAAACGATTTCTACATTTTTCGAGTTTTCAGGTGCAAGGGTTCTAATTCTAACGACGTTTCCTCATTACTTCCAAGAAAATTTTCAGAGGTAGGCACTCCATTATTGTATCATTATAAAAACTGCTATCTGGAAAAAAATTAAAAAATCAAGTCGTTCTTAAATTTTCTGTGCCATTCTGTGTGAAGGATCAGGGAAAAATATTGTCAAAATCCAAAACCACATCTCGAAGAAGTGCAGTTGGTTTTTGAGACTTGATTCATAGCAGCGGTTTCCCGGTCTCGGAGTCCAATGAAAAATGTAGGCTAGAGCGAGACGTTTTGGTCTGCCACGCCAAAAATTTTCTCACCGATCCCTGGAAAGCGAGGCAGCTGTCAGACTGTGGCTCGGAGAAGTAATGCCAGTCCATCTCGGTGTTCCAGAGCAAGAACGGGAATGCGGGGACTTCAGACAGGTAGGACCCGTCGGATCCAGCCTCCAGCAATAAAACCCTCGTGTCCGGGTCCTCCGTTAGGCGATTCGCCAACACGGCTCCCGAAGTTCCGCCGCCGACTGAAAAAAAAGCACAGGAAATGCAATTATATAAAAGGAAATTTCTGGAATGATTCGAGCTCATAGTGAGAAATTCACTGACCGATGATGAAGTCATAAACCGGGGTAATGGTTCGTGGGCCAAGCATTCTGTGCCCGATGGGATCATCCACGTCGTTCATCATCGTTCGGAAACCGACGACTATCAGGCCCATGAGAGCCAGCGGCCACGTCAGGAAAGAAAATATCGCCATTCTGTCAATAAAAAATAAATGATGAAGCAGAATTAACAGCTGCTTCGCGTAATTGCCGCGTAACTTAATTACTAGGACTCTTCTGGCCAGAACTTGGTTTATTGAGTTATTGACGCTCGCTGATGCAGAAAGCTGAAAGTTCTTTTCTGTACAGGGCACTTCTTTATTTTCTCTAGTCTTTCGAAGAAAACAGGAAATGAATCTTCATTGAGGAAACCAATATACATGCCTGATTCGATTTGTTGTCCACAATGAACCAGCCGTATATGCGAGAAATTCTTCCTCTGCATTTCTTATCCATGTAATAATGTACGTACTAGCTTTCGTTTCCTTTATTGGAATTTTTGATTATTGATTGGAGAAATAATAATTTTTCGAGCAATATCGTATCAATCTGTGGCTATTGAAATGTTGATCTTCAAGTTTGAAATGCTGAGTAGAACGTAAATTCTATGACCACGAATAAGTGTACTTGCCATATATTGACATGCTTTGAAAATTGTAAGCCGTTTTCAATTTCAAAAACAGTAGCTGAAGAACGTCACCGTACGTGACAATGTTCCGGACCTCCGGAATTGTCTCCAGAACTACTTGAAGTCGTTTTTAGAAATGTTGAGATTGGAGGATTTTTGACTCAGCAATTTCTAGTTCTAATTCCTATCAACACCTCTGAACCATCGTTTGTGTGTGTTTGTGTGTGCTATAGCGAGGATTGCAAAAAGAATCGTTGAAGGAGCACAGTTTTTATTTGCATATTCGTGTATGAGAACTTCCTGAGAAGTTTTAACATGGTTTGATTTCATACACCTGTTACAATTTGGGAATTCAATGAGATGTGGGAATCCGGAAGTAAAATAGCGTTTTCAAGAGGCTTTTGAAGATTGTCACTTGCCGGAAGAAAAAAATATCTCGTTTACGGAAGTGATTGCATGAACATTCTATAGAGTCATTTGCGCGAACGGAAAAGACCCAGCTGCATTGTTGACATTCGCATTAAATTTTCTAAAGCATTCCCCGGACATTCTTCTCCGTGCGCCTTTCAGAGACGACAGGCCTTAATAGGATTTGCTGGGAATTATTTTTTGTTGTCCAAAGAAAAGTAATCTTTTCTACAGTTTAAACTGTTGCTAACAACCAGGCGGTTTCTTGGGTTCTTTCCAGCATATACAGGTTCTTCCTAATGCGGTTATAATGTATTATTCTATATGCTACTATTCTGACATGATCCCATCACTTGCAGTAGAGTACGCTTATTCTGCTTTGTTCTACTTGATGTATACAGGTAAAAGTGTTTAGAGGAGCAATTTCGATTAAATTCATAATTAACTCAATGAGCACAAGACGCAGTATCTCAAGAATTTTATATATATTTGAACTGAAAAGCCGAAGAATATCAGTTTGAGTTACATACGAGTGCGCAAAGGAATCGTCGGGATTTCATAGTTTTTTTTTTTCTTCTGAAAAAATACCGACGCTGACTCATCCACGAGCAAACTTATTCGCATTTGTGTGAACTTCGGACATCAGCCGTTTCAAGGCCAAGAATATGCTGAAATCTGTGAAGAATTCAAAAATGGAATGTCTGAAATGTGTGAAGAAGCTCACACGATCAAAGAACGTACCAGCTGTTTTCTAATGTTACTTTGCTGGTATACCTACTCGTGTTTTCAATGCAGGTCGATTTGAAATCCCGCTCATTGATTTTCAAAATACTATAATTCGAATGGAAATTCACTGAAGTACAGTATGCACATGATGCGATCGTATTTTAGAAGAACCCAGTCGTTGAGGTTTACCCAAAAAGCACAGCCATATTTCAACTCTTGATAAACTTCGGAACTGTTGAGATTTAGAAATTGAAAAATAACACCAAAATGACGAAGCTTTTGAAAAATACGGTTTATAATTTGAGAACTCTGATTTGTACATCATGTGTCCCTCGAAAAAATGACGTGGGCATTCTTACAGAAATACAAAATTAAGAAGAGAATGACCATTCTGATTTCCTTTATAATATATAAAATTGAAATACAGTAATATTTTATTCATTTATTTATATAAATAAAATAATAAAAGTGATCTCATTGTCGAGAGTAGTAGAGTCTCTATAAAGCTGGACTATGGAGCGATAATTCAGGTCGATATGATTCGAAAATTTAATAAACAGTTTTTTACAATTATTGTGCAGCAACGCAAAGGAGGAATTCCGGTGGTGGCAGAATTCAGATTTTGAGTCATATTTTCCCATTTCGTGAGGAACTTTGCCGGAATGTTTTTGTGGTTGCTACCATTCCTGCGACACGAACTGGTAAATGAATGAAGCCAAAGGAAATAGAAGAAAAATCTATCCTTCGTACATTGGGAACTGTTGCCCTGAACCTTAAGTTTTTCATGAAATTTTTCAGGTTAAATACTAATAATTGGGGTTCTGGTCCACTCTAAAATTGTTCTCGACATACTCAGCATAAATAAACTGTCGACGAATTAGAAAATCAGCAATAGTCTTAACGTGATTTCTAGTAAAGGGCATAATCATGAAATATTGTATTCTTCAAAGCCCCTTCGAACGTGTCAACTGCCTACAGTTAAACAATTATTAGCAACAAATCGAATTATTCTAAAATTCAAGAAGAGGGGTTTTACATCGATCTGCGTTTAAAACAGGAGTAGGTAACAGCGAAGTGACATTAGAAAACATCTCAAAAGATCTTTGAAATTCTTCACACATTTCAGCATATTATTTGGCTTTAAAACTGCTGATGCTCCCAAGTTCACATAAGTGCAAATAAGTTTGCTTACGGATGCGTCAGCGTCGGTATTTTTTGAGAAGAAAAAAGAACGATGAAATTCCGGCAATTCCTTTGCGCGCTCGTATATGTATCTCAAACTGATATTCTTCGGCTTTTCATTCCTAAAAATTAAAAAAAATTCATGAGAAATTGCGTCTTGTGCTCACTGAAATCATAATGAATTTCATCAAAATTCCTCCGTCGAATGTGTCCTCTGTCTACAGTTTAACAATTAGCATAAATAAGTTTCCACTTCATACAGACCTGAAACCCTCGCAATGTATTGGCTTAAAGCATTCAGTGCTTGACCAAAATATAATTATGACTGCAAAAGCTCACCTCCTGTTATCAAGTCGCAAGGGCGAGTCCCCAAATTGCGAAGCTTTGAAGAGCAGCCAAGCGATGCACTTTTTGTCAGCTCACACACTCACAAAAAAGAAAAAAACCGAACCTGAACCGGAAGCAAAAGAATAACTTCCTCGCTTTTCTCGCGAGGACTGAAGAATATTGGTGCTGGAACGTCTTTGGAAAACGGAATGAAAGTTCATTCAGTATCGCCATTCAACCCCTTTCATGTCGTCAAAAGCTCCTCGAATTGAAAAGAAACATAGTCATTTCGAGGACAGCCGAGTTGTTTTCCTCGAACCACCAATCCGACACACGGTATAAACCAGTACACTTTTCAGATATTCCAGCTACGAGATTCACAAAAGTCCAGAGTTATGTTTTTGAATGTCTCTGAGCTTCTTCGGATTTAATCATCATGTCTTGACTCAGCAATCCGCAGCCGTGGAATGAATGGAGTAAACACGGAAAATATAGCGGGAATATAGCCGAAGCTGAGACATTTTCGTTGTGTTGAAAAAAAATCTATCACACCGTGAGTCAGCAGACGAAGTCAGTTCTCAACAGGTGGTCTCGCACTTGGACAAGCGATCCCATTCCCCTGGGTATTTGTTCGACAGGGAATATCATCTGCGAAGCCCCGAACAGAGAAAATATCTGTGGGGGCAAGAAATGGGCTGCATGCTTGGCTGAGCCCCGTCCAGCCATGATTTTTATTTTATCATCAGGACGAACGCGGCTTCATCTCAAATTAATATCCCTGGTGTTGTCAACAGACGCCAGATGATCCGAAACACGAAAGTACCGCGCGTTCACGATGGGCGTTCGCAAAAGTTCAGTCTTTCAAAATTGTTTCCGGACGAGCACAGATAAAGATCATTGGCCACATGGGTATTTTTAAAGGCCATGGTATATAAGCTAAACTTCGATTTTGGACAGCCATACGTGGGATTCACCTACAAGCAGCGTAAAAAATCAAATTTACTGATGCACGCATGTAACAGTCATCGTATTTAATGCGTGACGTGACGTAGGAGTTCAATCTTTATGAGTAATACGCAGGCTGGGTCATTGTTGAAATCACCCAACCAACGATTAGATAATCAAATTTACTGATGCACGCATGTAACAGTCATCGTATTTAATGCGTGACGTGACGTAGGAGTTCAATCTTTATGAGTAATACGCAGGCTGGGTCATTGTTGAAATCACCCAACCAACGATTAGACTTGAGAGTATTAAAAAATCCGAGAGCTACTTTCAATGGCAAGATTTTTATTCACCTAATTTCCCTGGTCTTGATCTCGTTAACATTAACATTGATAAAGAGTTTGGCTTATAATCTGACTTCAAAAGAATTTTGTCACAAGGAGCCTCAGTACAAGAAAGCTCATTAAAATGAATTATTGGTGTCAAAAAGTAGTTTGTCAGGTTCCTACTCTATATAGCAATGATGTTATTCAAACCGATTTACATAACGAATTTCGCGTAACTGCTTTCAGAGGCCCGACAGATTCGTTGTAACGAGATTTTACTGAATATATTACACACCTGCGTGTTTTTCAGACTGCGTGCGAATCAAGATTTGTCGGATACACCATTTCCAGAATCATTTTGGGAATTATGTGCTCAATCCGCCAGACGACACTAATATATTTTCGAGTAATACAGTAAAATCCCGTTACAACGAAGCTCTTGGAACCATGGAAAAAGCTTCTTTTTAGAGATATTTTTCTTTTAAAGCGGTTTAAGTAAGTTACTGACAATATACATGGTCCAATAAATCAAATTTGTTTAAACGAATATTTCGTTATAATGAGATTCATTGTAACCATATTATACTGTACAGTACTCGCTCGTATATTT